TTTGGGGTTTACTGCAACTTGTTTATGGGTTTTACTATATTTGGTTTATGATTTAGAGTTTTATTGTTACGTTATGTATCTTATGATTTACCGACTTATTGGTCTGATTGAAGGTGGTTTGATTAAAAAGAGTTATATTTTTTTAAAAAAAAATCTTGAATTCGAGTTTTATAAATGAAAAAACAAGTGTTGAGAGAGCTTACTCCGTTATGAAATCTAACGCGACTTGATTCCGAATTTATCAAAACTTAATGTAATTACTAAATATCGAGAAGTTAATATCAAATATATATACCTTATGGTTTATGGAACTAAATTCATATAAAATGTATAACGGGGATAGGAGTTATTTGATGTTGGATTTTTGTTCAATTTGAAAGTTATGAGTACAATCAAGTTTTATCACAGTGGTCATTTTGAGATTCATGAATCAATTGGGTTTAAGTACGCAGGAGGAAAGGTGCTAGAAGTAGATGTTTGTTTATACGACATTACCATGGATGGTTTTCAACAAATGGTACATAACATGGGATATCTTTCTTATAAGGCTTTATTCTTGAAAGGAAAATAATTAGTACATCCTCTGATTTAACATATTTTTTGATACATTTCAATTTAGTGATTAAAAATATAATATAAATATAATCAATTTAATCGATTCTTGTATCCTGTGTGCATAATTATATCATTAAACTTATTTATTTTTAATTTTAGATAAAAGAAATAGTGATTTTTTAATAAATGTGTCATTCAGTGTGTCATTCAGTGTGTCATGCAATGTATTGAACCGAATTATGTACCGAACCAAATTATGTACCAATCACTATCCTGAAAGGAAAATTATTAGTACACCCTCTGGTTCAACACATTTTCGGACACACTCCGGTTTAGTGATTAAAAATATAATATAAATATAGTCAATTTAACTAATTCTTGCATCTTGTGTGTATAATTGTATCATTAAACTTATCTATTTTTAATTTTAGATAAAAAAATAATGATTTTTTAATAAATGTATCATACAATATATTGAACCAGAGTGTGTACTAATTACTGTCGTTCTTGAAAAACCCCTTTTTTAGATTTGTCAAGGGGTTTAAATGAGATAAAGCATCAAAAAAGGGTCATTGGTGTTAGATACTATCTAACAGAGTGACAGAGAGGGGTTAGGCTAAGATACATTAAACAAGTGGTTAACGATCTTGCTACAATGTTGATGTTAGAAGATGTGTATGGGCATGAAAATGTAGAAGCAGAAAATGGTGGGGCAGGTCTTGGTTGTGGTGGTCTAATAGCTGTAGAAAATTGTGTGGGCGTTAACCCTACATTGGCTGACCAAGACATTGGTGGTTAAAAAAGGATGAACCATATACAAATTCATCTTTCAACACTTTATTTTTTTGTATTAGGATGAAATATATAATGCTGGATGTTCAAAAAGGAAGAGAAATCCAACTTGTGGACTTTGTAAATAACCGGGCATAACAAGACAACTTGCCTTGCAAGA